AGGTCTTATCGAGCGTATTGTGCGAAAGACTGAAGCCCACCGTCAACGAGCTGATTGGACCTTATCAGTGTGGCTTTAGGCCTGGAAAATCCACCATAGATCAGGTATTCACAATACGCCAAATCTTGGAAAAGACCCGCGAGAATAGGATCGACACACACCATCTATTTGTCGATTTCAAAGCCGCTTTCGACAGCACGAAGAGAAGTTGCCTTTATGCCGCGATGTCTGAATTTGGTATCCCCGCGAAACTAATGCGGCTGTGTAAAATGACGTTGAGTAATACCACCAGCTCCGTCAGGATAGGGAAGGACCTCTCCGAGCCGTTTGATACCAAACGAGGTTTCAGACAAGGGGACTCCCTTTCGTGTGATTTCTTTAATCTTATGTTGGAGAAGATAATAAGAGCCGCAGAACTGAACCGCTCAGGCACAATACTTTACAAGAGCGTACAATTGCTGGCGTATGCCGACGACATCGATATTATCGGTAAAAACAAGGGCTACGTCTGTTCTGCCTTCTCGGGATTGGATAGAGAAGCAAAGCGAATGGGTCTGGTGGTGAATGAGGACAAACATCACATCAACAGTCATGTGTGCAAACAGTCAGAGCATACGCGTCTTGGCACCCACGTCACTGTTGACAGTTACAAGTTTGAAAAAGTAGACGACTTCGTTTATTTGGGAACCAGCATTAACACCAATAATAATGTCAGCCTTGAAATCCAACGGAGAATCACTCTTGCCAACAAGTGCTACTTTGGGCTGAGTAGGCAATTGAGAAGTAAAGTCCTCTCTCGTCGTACAAAGATCACACTCTATAAGTCACTCATCATGCCTGTGCTGGTGTATGGCGCGGAAGCATGGACAATGAAAGCATCTGATGAGGCGGCTCTTGGAGTTTTCGAGAGAAAGATTCTGCGAAAGATTTACGGACCTTTACGCGTTGGTGATGGCGAATATCGCAGACGATTTAACGATGAGCTGTATGAGCTTTACAACGATATAGACATAGTGCAGCGAAT